AAAATTAAAAATTAAAAATTAAAAAAATATAGTAGATGTAAAATACGAATAAACTCAATATTTAAAAAAAAAAATAAAAAAAAAGAGCAAGTTTATTGGAATGGTAATCGAATTAAATGGAGGTGGTCCCACAGCTTACCTAAATGGGGGTGGGAAAATTCATATGGGCAATGGCATAAATACTACAGGATCGTGTTGAGTGAGTACTCCGTTGATGGGCAGAATGAAAAGGGCGGATTGTAAATAAGAGGGCAATGCAAGGGCATGTGAGTAAAATCGCATCCTGCAAATGGCCAACTTGCTCAATGGGCGTTGGCTGCACGTTGAGGAATAACTAATAGGCTAAAGAAAGAGAGTATCGGGAATTTGAACAGAGAAGGATTGCTGGGGCGACAATTTTGTCATGCAATAAACTTTTTTAAATTCAAAATTCAAATTAGTAAAACAAAACTTATTATTTTATATTCAGCCTAAAAGGGGATAACATTATATTATTATTTTTAAATATATTAAATTTAATTAATCCAAATTAATTTTCAACCTAAATCAAATCAAAGCGATTATATTTTTTGAATCTATAATATTGGTCGCTTGGCTTTTGGAAGCCTTGGAATTGGAATTATTTAATTTAATTTAATTTAATTTAATTTGAATGGTTGAATATCAGGGTGCAGCCTTCAAGTTGCAACATTTTGGTGAAAAGAAGAAAAAAGGGAAAGAAAATGGTGACAGCCCACCAAATAACCATATACCATTAACTGGCTCACAATCCTCCGTCGTTTTGTCCAATCATTTTCTTTCCTTCTTTAACAACAACTCCATCCGTCCATCGCCCTTCCCTTCTGGATTTGATCTCTGCCTAATTTTTCATTTTTATTTTCTTTTAATATGAACCACATTTTTTTGGGCCCAGCTCGGTTGGGCGTTATGGGCCTAAAGCCTACTTGGGCCCATGTCGGCCTCGTGACATTTTTCAACCAGAAACGAATATAACAATTAATTTTACAATCGAGCAATGAAGTAAATGTAAATAATTGGAACAATGGAGTTTTAGTGATGACTAAGACTATTTAATTTCAAAATAATAAATCATTTACTCTCAAACCCTAGCTGAACTTCGCAAAACTGCTAAGAGAATAAATAGTAAGCTATTGACCGTTTCTGACTTTGACCGGCCGCCGCTCGTATTTGGACCTCTTCAATGCCTTCCTCTTCTCCAGCCGCGCAGCTCTTCTGGCAGCAGCATCAGCCTGGGCCTTCTCGACTACTTTATCGAAGCCAGGAATCCTCCGCTCCAACCTACTGTAAACTCTAGCGCTGAGGTTGGAGAATAACCTAAGCAGTCTCTGCAACAAAGGGACAGAGGTTTCGTAATCCTGACTCACATAACTCCATCAAACTTATAAGAATGAAGCCGTCGTCAGTAAGTAGTGTACCTTCACATCATCATTCCAATGCCTGATGTATGGAGGCCCAGTCGTGTACGACCCAAGACGTTCACGATGCCATTTCCCACTATATGTTATCTGATCCATTGCTTGCTCCACGCTTAGAACCTCCCATGGTCTTAACCCGGGTAGAATTTTAGCTAACTTGTACCTGCCATACCGCAGATAACACCCACGACGCAAGTATAAGAATCTAGTGGAGAATGGATATTTAAAGTTGAATTATGTATCCAAAAAAGTTACTGCATTGGCCAACGTTAAGAAGGACACTTCATCCTCAGCTACGGAATGAACAATTGAAGGGAAACAAAGTTATCGCCATGGATTTATTGTTGAGGATAGTTGGGAGAGAAGTGCCACCTTGGTTAATTAAGGAGATGATCATGGGTTTATAAGCAACGAATACCGTCTCCATTGGTATGATGAGGCCTTTAGGAGAAACCAAAAGTAAAGTCATGAGAGCTAATGCCCAAAGAGGACAATATCTGTTAGTGGTGAATTTCGACGGTTACAAATGGCATTAGAGCCAAGTGGGCTCGGGCTGTTACATTTATTATAACTAACAAAACTAAAATGGTTGTAACTCATACAAATAGAGATATAGTGAATCGAATGTGGGGTGGACATACCTTAGATCCCTAGGGATGTACTTGTTTGGCATGTGGTCTGCCTCCAACAAAGTTGTCAGCTCAGTTCCACTTGCCCAGAGAAAAAGCGCATGGCTAGGAGTTCTAACTCCTGGCCAAACACCGTCATTAGCTGCTAATACTGCTAGATCTCGTCTCTTGCTCTCTAAAGCCTCTTGTTGCAGTTGCTTGTAGGTTTTCTTCTCTTGTCCCTTAAGAGGAACCCATGGAGGGATGCCTCTCTGCAATTTATGAATAAAAGCAGTGGCAGCAGCGCCGAGTCTAACTGGAAAAACAACCATGAGCCAGTAAACCTCTTTGTAAATATGACATCTGTTTATAAATCAACTAGATGGAGCCGAAGTCAAACAGGGGATGGCGAGAACAATAAATAGATATAACAAACACGAAATGAGATGTAACAAATACGATTAGAGCATAAAAGTAGGAACCGAGTTAAAGATGGCAGCTAGCCACAAATAAAGTAAGCAGTGACTTGAGTGATATTGACGGGATTTATGGTTCTCTATATCGCGTCAAGCTTAGCTAGTTTTCCAAGATCTTGTAAAGATAGGAAAAGCTACATAAAGTATTTGTGAATAAGTGTTCTCTACTGTAAACCCAGCTAGTAAGAAACTCCTACATCAGGCAGGGGGCAACCAATTAGAAGCTGGGGTGCATTCCAAAAACAGCATCTATATGCACCGAAAATATTTGCTCATGACATGTCATGTTTTTAATTTGATCGTCGTGATGTATCTATAATATACATTTGAACGAAAAGAAGCATGCGCTAATTCGATCATGATGTCTACATTGAACTAAAAGGAACGCTCCATCTTGAACTGTAATGTGGTGATCTACTTAAAGACTAATAATTAAGTAATGCTCAAATTAAGCATACAACTATTGATGTTACAAATTCAGGGTAAATTTCTTGATACCTTCAACTTCATACTTGCAAGGAGAAATGAAAAGATAACCATAGAAGTTTAACTGACCTTCCCAAGTGGCAATTGCACGCTCCATTCCGTAAACCATGTGAATTGGTGCCCATTCGTCCATGTCCTCCCCCCAGATAAATGTGTCCTTGTCAATAATCCCACTTCCCCAAGCTGTTTTGAGAGTAATTAGTTCCAATGGCCCTCGAGTACGACCTAACCGATCCTTATAGTACCAACCTCCACTCTTCATTATAACTGCAAAGTCAACACAATCATGCTAAAAGCCATGAATACAATACAAGACTAGGAAGGCACTTTCGAATCACTAAGCAACTTCATGAAACTGATCAAACATGACTGAAATGTAGACTATACAGGTTTATCAAACAATGTAAAAGTAAATCCAAGATAAAACAAAGTGCCTATCTAAGAAACTTGGGCAGAAGAACATAACAGGTCTAATATGAGCCCGTTTCATGATGGAACTCAGATAGCCCATGCCAATGTGGCTTCCACGGCTCGATATAGCTCAAGGCAATGGCAAAAATGGGAAATCGGCGCGCATTCTTCAGGGAACAACACCAATTTAGACTTACAATCATAGTACCGCTCCTCGAGGCGCTTATATCCAATGGCCTGAGCAACATCGATCGGGCGACCAGGTGGATAAGGTCTTTGCCGGTAGCCCCAAAGCCCCAAAAAGAACTGTCTCGCAAAATCCCAAAACTTATCATCGGATTCTTTTCTCGTTTTAATTGCTTTCCTCGGCATAGGCCGCCCGTCAAGCCCAGTTACATGAGGAATTGCCCTCCATAGCTTCCTGTCCTCACGTCTGTACGGATTCTCATTCTCTTTGAGCTCAATTTCATTGTACTTGGCTGCAATTTTCTCCGCACGTTCCAGAAATTGCACAACAGGGCTGTCTCGTATCGCTTTCCAGAGCTTCTCGTTTTTTTCCAGCTCCTCTTCAGTAGGATTCTCTTTCTTCTCAAAAACAGGATCTTCGCTCAAGATTTTCTCAACCTCAGGGGTGTGTCTGTAATCGGGTAAATTTTCGCATTCCCAGTAGAATTGATCTAGCATTTCGCGGTAATACCCTGGTTTTTCGGGTGCTTCCTCTGGCTTTTTCTGCTTCTTGAAGACATTTGAGAGGGTAATTGAAGCAAAGTTCGGGGACGTCGAGGATTTTTGAGACAACGAGTCTCTAAATGCAATGAGATTGAGGGGAGAAATGGGATTAGGACGCCTGGAGAACCAATTCTCGAAGGGGTTGAAGTTGATTGACGCCATAGCCGAGACACAACTCTGGCTTAAAGAAGGTCAATCAGTGAGTAAAATGTTGAGACTTGAGGCGATTGAAGTAGGGTTTAGGACCTGCCTGAAGATGGAGGGATTCGCGGAGGAGTGATGGAGAGTGATGGAAGGGAGTGGATAGACGGCACTGAAATTGGGCCACGTAAATGGGCCGAAATGATAAAATGGAAGCTTGGCCCATACATAAATTGGCCCAATGGATATATGAGCATTGAATAAGGTGAGAATGGCTGATGATTTAAAGCTTCAGAAGAAACAAAAGTTTTAACCTTTTCTTTTATGCTGCATCACAATTACTCTATTCTACGATTTCAATGACATTATTTGATATATACATTCACTAGAAATTTTCAATTTTACTTTAGTAGTGTTATTAAATGAATTGTGGGTTATTTTTTCTTTGAGGCGGTTATAGTTCGTTGTTGAATATTTCTCGGGTTTTTTATGTCTTTATCGCATGTTGTTTTTTCAAATTAAAAAAGAAAAAATAAACAAAGTATTAAAAGCATGATCAAAATTTATGGAATTTTTTTTATTTAATATCAAATACAAAAATTAAGGGAAAAAAAACTTTTTAAAGCGTAGAAATTTATTTGTCACAGACATAAAATAAAAGTCAAAAACTGAATATTATAATACTATCCCCAAAAAAAGGGAGACTTGCGCGTTGTCACCAATGGTGGCTAGAGTGTCGAAGCTGGGAAGCTTCAAAACTCTCTTCTCCACCACATCTATGGAGAGCAATTTGTGTGTAAGTTCAGATTCTCTTGAATTTTCTTATTGGACAATCTCCTAATTCCCGCAGTTTCATTTCAACTCATCTCCCACATTCCGTGGCAATTTTCTGTGCCATTTTCAGTATTTAATTAACGTCGCAAAATTCAAACTAATTGAAAAAATATGTTCTTTGACTATGGAAACTTTAGCAATGCCGATGGTCCCATGACTCTTACATCTTCCTCCCAATTGCCATTTTCACATCCTCTTCTCACTATTTATCAGAGTTTCTTTCATATCTACGTCCATGGAAGATTATTGCTTTCTTTTCTTTCTTAACCATGGCTATGGGAGTTTCGTTAGCTTGCTTTGTCATATTTGTTTTCTATGTTTCTGCTCTTTCTGTTCAAGCCTCGTTTCTCTACCATGGATTCAATAATTCAGATCTTATCCTTCGTCAAGGAGCTTCTGTAGAGGCTTCTGGCTTGTTGAGGCTAACCGACAGCACCCAGTTCGTTATAGGCCAGGCTTTCAATCCTAATGCCCACCAGATGTTTGATAAAAGTTCTGAACCCGTTTTAGACGTTTCTTCTTTCAGCACAACTTTTGTGTTTGCCATAGTTCCATCAAGCCCCGGTTCGCCAGTTGGGTATGGCCTCGCCTTTGTTATGGCTCCATCGACCACATTTCCAGGTGCTGCAAGTGAACATTACTTGGGATTATTCAACTCCTCCAGCAACGGCAAGGCTTCCAATCATATCTTTGCAGTCGAATTCGATACTATTAATGGTCACGATGACCCTCAAAATTCGAAGGGAAACCATGTCGGAATCAACAAGAATGGCATGCGATCAAGTGCGTCTGAAACGGCTGAGTACTCTTATTATGGCTCTGATGTGAAAACGGAGGTGTATTTGGATAGTGGTGATCCAATCCAAGCTTGGATTGACTATAGTCGCCATAGTAAGGTTGTGAATGTCACGATAGCTCCTACAAATGTGGACAAACCAACTGAGCCATTGATTTCATATCCCATAAACCTGAATTCAGTTTTAAAAGAGACAATGTTTGTTGGGTTCTCTGCATCAACCGGAACAGAAACAAGCTTCCACTACATTTCAGGTTGGAGTTTTGCCATCAATGAACAAGCACCTGCGTTAAATGTTTCTCAGCTACCAAAACCACCGAAAGTGGACATTTCTCCGCCGTCAAAATTCAATCCTCTACTCACCGTTGTTGTACCAATATTATCTGCCATGACATTGATGGGAATTTGGTTCTTAGCCTCTTTATTCAGAAGAAGATTACGAGATGACAGCCTTGAGGAATGGGAAAGAGATTGTCCTCACAGATTTGGCTATAACGATCTTTATAAAGCCACAAAGGGATTTAAAGACTCTGAGCTCCTTGGATCAGGTGGCTTTGGCTCAGTATACAGAGGTGTCTTGCCTTTCACTGGAAGTGAAATTGCTGTGAAGAAGATAACACGAAATTCGACTCAGGGAATGAGGGAATTCGCTGCCGAGATCGAAAGTTTGGGCCGATTACGACACAAGAACTTGGTGAATCTCCAAGGATGGTGCAAGAAAAAGAATGATCTTCTCTTGGTTTATGACTATGTTTCAAATGGAAGCTTGGATTCTCTCCTCTACCATCCAAAACACAACTTTGTGCTGAATTGGGAACAAAGAATCAACATCCTCAAAGGCGTTGCTGGTGGATTGCTGTACCTACACGAAGAATGGGAGCAAGTAGTGATCCATCGAGATGTTAAGCCGAGTAATGTCTTGATAGATGTCGACATGAATGCTCGACTAAGTGATTTCGGTCTTGCAAGGTTATACGACCACGACCAAGTCTCGCATACAACCAGTGTCGTTGGCACCATTGGCTACATCTCACCCGAGTTGGCTCGCACCGGAAAAGCATCTAAAACCACGGATGTGTTCGCGTATGGAGTTCTAATCCTTGAAGTGGCTTGTGGAAGAAGACCTCTAGAATCAGATATATTCATATTGGTAGATTGGGTAATGGAATGCCATGAAAGAGGCCGTATTCTGGACGCAGCCGATCCGAAGTTGAGTGCAGTTTATGACATGAATGAGATGGAGATGGTGCTGCAACTTGGGCTTCTTTGTTCCCACTACAAACCTGAAGCAAGGCCAAGCATGAGGCAAGTCACGAGATATCTTAATGGAGACGACCAAATTCGTTCTGTTCATCCTCCAAATTATTCTCAAGTTACCTTCCAATCTAGCTCCGGATTCACTCAATTCATTCCACCGTCTTCGCAGACTTCATCTGCTAGTTTTATCTCAACCTCCATAGATCTAAGCAGGTAAACAATTACCTTTTCTATTTACTTTTTCTAACTTCATCCATGTAAATCAATATCATTTACATACCCTAATAAAATTTATATTAAATTACAAAATTAGGCGTGTTTTCGATTTAAGGTTCAAATTAGCCCTTTGTTGTCCAACAAATCTTTGAATTCAATTTAGAGTAAATCATTTAATTTTAAGTCAAATATCTAAGTACAGTTAATTGATTTATTGTATAGAGAAGTAGAATGATTCTATTTAATAGTTTTATCTAGAAGTAAGGAAAATTTAATATTATTATTATTGTAATTATTATTATTTATAAAATCCAAAAGTCAAGTGTTCAAATTAGATTCTTATATCTTATCTCTAAGTGATAAGTCTGTCAAGAGATTGGTGTATTGATATCCGATAAACCGAGTAATCTCCAGAAATAAATATTCCCTTTCAAACTAACTCCACGTTTTCAGCGTTACTTTTTGGGTTCAAAATTGTCGACTAAAAAGGCTATAAAGCAAAGCAAAATTACCAAAATGGGCTAAGTAATGATTAGGAGTCTAAGCTTGATTATTACTTACTTTATTAAAAAAAAAAAAATACTAGTGGGTTTTGAATTTTGGCAAATAAAATAATATTAAATTACAATCATTCAAAAATCAAGCATGTGGAGAAATAATGATGTCATAGTGTGATTATATGGTGCCTCATTAAAATACTCCTTATTTTACAAAGTCAAGCAACAAAATAAATAAATATATATACAGCACTTGAATTTAGATTTTTAATAGTGTGACGCAAACTTACTCTTTAAAAAAAAAATAATAGAAGACTAATAGCGATAGCGATAAATCCTAACTGAGTTGGTCAACACTCCAACATCCCTGGCCCTCTTAAGCCCCTAAAGCCCAAAAGGTCTCTGACATAGGCCCAACGAGCCCGATAAATTTAAAAAAAAATGCAAAATTTCCGTTGCCGGGATTTGAACCCGGGTCTTTCGGGTGAGAGCCGAATATCCTGACCAACTAGACTACAACGGATTGTTGAAACCTATGGTTACATAAAATATTAAATGAAATAAATTTTACATTAGGCCCAACCCATTTGGTTAACTCGTTAAGGGGCCTCAAGCCCTAATAATTTATGTACGGAATTAAGAAAATATACATAAATAAATGTTTATTTTAAAATTTTAAATTATACAAAAAAAAAAAAAAAAAATCCATAGTTTTTAATTATATTCATCAAATTTCAAAAGATTATTTTTTACTCCTAAACTTCAAATATATTTCATTCCCTTTTCTAATAAAATAATATTTAATTTATAGATGTTAAATATCTTCCAAAAAAAACCGTCCCTAGCTGGGACGGGATACCTACAAATGGGCAAGACTTGCATTGACTTCCATTCCATTATTCTGCTACCCTACAAATGGGCAAGACTTGCATTGACTTCCATTCCATTATTCTGCTACCCTACAAATGGGCAAGACTTGCATTGACTTCCATTCCATTATTCTGCTACCCTACAAATGGGCAAGACTTGCATTGACTTCCATTCCATTATTCTGCTACCCTACAAATGGGCAAGACTTGCATTGACTTCCATTCCATTATTCTGCTACCCTACAAATGGGCAAGACTTGCATTGACTTCCATTCCATTATTCTGCTACCCTACAAATGGGCAAGACTTGCATTGACTTCCATTCCATTATTCTGCTTGTATATATTATAAAGGTTAGTTCCCATTTTCTTCTTCAACAATCCTAAACTATAAACTTGTTTTTATTAAAAATTTATTGGTTTATTTTCCACCCCTAACTCTATTATCAATTTTTTTAATTATATATTAAATGAGCTGACGTGTCATAGTTTAAAAATAACTGTCAAGATTATTTTTCTTTATTATAGGAGATAAAGAATTTGTCCACATTATACACATAATATTCAAATTAAAAAGTATATAGTTGCACCTTATTTATTGTAAGGCTATTTATTTATTTAATTTATACAAACCCATTACAAGTTAAATGAATATTTAAACTTTAAATGGACTTTTTATTTGTTTTGTGTTTTGATTTTAATGGTCATTTTTAAATATTAATAAAGACAGCTGTGGATCGATTAATTAAGACATATAAAAATATATTTAAGAAACAAAATAAAAATAATAACTATAAAATAGTTTTCATGTATTTTCTTTGCTATTTCCTAGCTGAACTATTCAAAGTTGGCTCTTAAAGAACATTCTATACGAATTTATTATATTTTTGGAATTAACATTTAAATAAATTTTACTTTAAAAAAAAAAGAGTAATGAAAACATACGCACGCAAAATCCAAATAATTGAGATAAAAATATTGAAAAATAAAAATCAGTAATTGATAAAATTAGAGGATGCAAATCATAGCGTTTATTTATGTTTAAAGTAAAAATTTAAAGATTAATTTAAAGGATGATGTAATTATGAATTATGATTTTAATACTGCAGGTGGGAAGATGGAAGTACTCCGCGGAGGCAGGAGGAGGAATATAGGGTCAAAACGGCATCCACTCGGCTCGAGTTGATACCATTTTTTATGCGACTCCGCTGAAAAAGAACTCAACTACTCCCAATTTCTCACCCCATTCCTTCAACATCCTTCAAATCTCGCTATCAGCACTTCAATTCCTAGAAACCCACTTGTCATACCCTCCAAATTTCCTTCCTCCATCAAATTTGAAACTTCATTCTCCAACCCTCAAAAAATCACCAAATTACTGATGAACAACACCGCCCAGCCGGGAAACATGGCCGCCGGATCCCCGCCATGGCTGAACACCGGCGACAACTCTTGGCAAATTACAGCCTCCACTCTCGTCGGACTTCAGAGCATGCCTGGCCTTGTGATTCTCTACGCCAGCATCGTCAAAAAGAAATGGGCCGTCAATTCTGCCTTTATGGTCCTCTACGCCTTCGCCGCCGTTCTAATTTGTTGGGTCCTCGTCGGTTACCGAATGGCATTTGGCGACCAGCTGGTTCCTCTGTGGGGCAAGGGGATTCCAGCTCTGACCCAAAGTTACCTAATTGACCGAGCCGATATCCCTGAGAGTGGCAATACAAACAACGATGGAAGGGTAACGCTCAGAATTGAACCCAATATTCCGATGGCTTCGCTCGTGTATTTCCAGTTCACTTTTGCTGCGATTACGGTGATTTTACTGGCTGGCTCTGTTCTTGCAAGAATGAACATCAAAGCTTGGATGGCGTTTGTTCCTCTTTGGGTAATTTTCGCATACACCGTCGGAGCATATTCTGTTTGGGGCGGAGGGTTTCTCTTTCAATGGGGCGTAATTGATTACTCCGGCGGCTACGTGATCCATCTCTCTTCAGGGATTGCTGGCCTGACCGCCGCTTATTGGGTAATACCAAAAACCTGAGTGAATTTGATTTCGTTTTCGAACAGGGTTTTGAGTTGATTGGTTTTCAACTGTTTGGTCAGGTTGGGCCGAGGATTAAGAGTGACAGGGAGAGGTTTCCGCCCAATAACGTACTGCTGATGCTGGCCGGAGCAGGGCTGCTGTGGATGGGATGGTCTGGATTTAACGGCGGGGCGCCGCACTCGGCGAACGTTGTCGCGTCGATAGCAGTGCTGAATACGAACGTGAGCGCCGCGACGAGCCTTCTGGTGTGGACCATTTTGGATGTGTTGTACTTTGGGAAGCCATCGGTGATTGGAGCCATTCAGGGTATGATGACTGGCTTGGCTTGCGTTACTCCCGGCGCAGGTAATTTTTGTAGTGTTTTTTTTTTTAGCTTACGTGTAATTATAATTAAATTAGGGGGTTTTAATAAATATAGAATTAAATGAGGGTATGATATTATTAATGTAATATTACATTTGACTCGGATAATTATATTGCTTATAAAATTAAACTGTCTTAACATTTTTAACAAATAAATGGAAGCAGGGGTAGTGCAGACGTGGGCGGCTATGATAATGGGGATTCTGGGAGGGAGCATTCCATGGGTATCCATGATGGTCCTTCATAAAAAATTGAGTTTCTTGCAAAAGGTGAAGGACCAAATTTCAACCATTGTTGTTACGATTTACATGATTACATATTTAATTAAAATTCATTTATTTTATTTTAAATTTTGTCAAATCACGTGTAACAGGCTGACGACACGCTCGGCGTATTTCACACGCACGCGGTGGCGGGATTGATGGGCGGGCTTTTAACGGGGCTTTTAGCCGAGCCCACTCTATGCGATCTATACCTACCGATAACCGGCACACGGGGAGCCTTTTACGGCAAAAACGGCGGCGTTCAATTCCTGAAACAACTGGCCGGCTCCGCGTTTATTATAGGATGGAACATAGTGTCGACGACCATAATACTCCTCTTTATTCGGCTGTTTATGCCATTGAGGATGCCTGATGAGGCACTTATGATCGGCGATGACGCCGTCCACGGAGAGGAGGCTTATGCTCTTTGGGGCGACGGCGAGAAATTCGATCCCAGAAGGCACGGCACTGCGGGGAACAATATTGAAGAAGGAACGGCCTCGCCTTATATTCATGGTGCTAGAGGAGTAATCATCGAGTTGTAAACATTTTTATAGCCTGCTTTGGTTTGATTCGAGTGCGTCTTGAACGTTCATAATTTTAGTGGCTTTTTTTGTTCCGAAGTTTATTCCTGGTGTGGTGACATTCCTCTGTTATTAAGATGATTTAATGTACAAAATACAGAGTTCTCTCCTCACCCCCTGCAGCTCCATTTCAGATAAGAAAGTGGCAAAAAAGAGTACAAAAGGTCGAATGTCCCGACCCATGATCAGAAGATCGCCATTAATACAGCTTCCCCCAGCACGTGCCCTTCTATTTCGTCTAACAGCTTCTCCTTTGACGGCTGCAAGTCAAGGCACGGAATCATTAACCAAAAGATGGAAAGGAAACGATTAATTTTTAATATTAATATTCCTGGGCTATAATTGACCTTATTGCCGAGGTTCATCTCATCGTCCAAAGCGTAGAGCTTGAACTCAAAGCGGTGGCCAAGTGAGGGCAAAGTGGGTACGCGCCACCCAGGGATTTTATCGTCGTTGTTGCCCTCTTGGATAGCCGCATAGTCCTTACCGAGCCCCTGTTGGTTCCCTGAGAAATCTTCGGGAAGGCCCTTCAAGCTCGGCGGTATGTTCACAACCACCCATACTGTCCACGGCACAATAGGGCGGTCCGGGTTCGGCGCGTCGATGTCCTGCACCACAAGTGCGAGGGTCTTGGTTCCTTGAGGCACGTTGTACCATTCCAACGGCGGAGATTTGTTCTTCTGCGCCCCTTGGCCTTCTGATGTGTACTTCCTTGGCAATCTTCCTTCGTGGTCTATTGCCGAAGACGCCAGCCTGAACTCGTCGCTGTCGGCCATGGTCGTAAAGCTTCCTCTGTTGCGTCATGGGAATGCCTTTATTATAGACTTTCTTTGGCTCTTGGCCACGTGTCTAACCACACAGACAAAGTGCCAGAAACTTGAACATGGCGACGACACGTCACCTTTGACGTGGCAAGCATAGACCGTTCCAAGCGGGATGGGGTTTATGCTTACTATTTTTAGTGCCCGGTAAATTTATGTTTTAATAAAAATATTAAACACTATAAAGTAAATATGTATCATAATATATTATGAGGAGATAGTTACACGGGAAAGGTCAAATCTTGACGACTGAATTATGTACAGAAGAAAGGCTCTTATTTTGTAAATAATAATAGAATCTAAAAAAGAATGGAAAATATGAACTTTTGACGACTGAATTTTTCTACAGAAATGTAGAATGGGAAGAAGAGGGGGAAGGTGAACGGACGCATGTACATCGAGGATCATGAATAACCTTCTTCCTGTAGATATCAAGTTTGGAACAAAAAACACAATATGGCCCTTCAAACTCTGCGGATCTTTCTTCACTTTCTTCATTTTCATACCCAACAGCAATGTAATCCTCACCTTCACTATCATCTTCTTCTGCTTCCACTTTGCGTTCACTGGAAGTCAGGTACACGTATCCCATCAATGGAAGAATTACGAGCACAATTTTATCAACCGTTTCGTCCGACCATTTTCTTGCGACATCCAAAAACATGAGAGGGGCAACAACTGCAGCTGCTCCTACTCCGAACCCAACTCCAATGAATATGAATTGCCAATCAGCATTAGCTGCTGAAGATGACTCCGAGAATCTTGTGTCTGAAGTTGAATGGGTGGTGGTTTTGCATTTCTTCGCCAATGGGGCTCCGCATAATCCTGGATTACCTGCGAAGGAATCTGGTGAAAATGTTTGGATTTGAGGGCCATTCGGGATCATACCAACCAACAGATTGTAGGAGAGATTCAACACTCCTAGAAACGAAAGTTTTGCAAGCTGTGAAGGGATTGTGCCACTAAGCCTGTTACTTGAAAGGTCTAGAGAACCCAGCTGACTTAAATTTCCTATGGATGAAGGAATTTCACCCGACAGCGAATTGTGTGACAAGTTGAGAACATAAAGAGCTCTAAGTTGCCCGACTTCTATAGGTATCTGCCCATCGAAGGAATTGCAGGAGAAGTCGATGGATGTGTAGACTGTTAGAATTTTTTGGAGCTCCACGTCTAGACCTTTGCTCGTAATAGTTACTGTGTCTTGATAGTTCACAGAACTGAATTTGAAGAAACTAAAACGAAGGTGAATAGCTCTTGACTTGCTATAATCTTCCTCATTCACCATTGCTTTCCATTTGAGTATGCACTTCCCAGAAATACTGCCATTGAAGTTGTTTCGAGATATGTCCACAATTTGCAGGCTCTTCCAGGTGCCATTGATCTCATGACATCCAAACCTCCCATGAAATTTGTTCGAGCGAAGAACAAGCACCCGCAGAGTGGATATGTTCTTCAATGGGCATGGAAAGACATCTCGTATCTGATTATTCCCAAGGTCCAGAACCTCCAACTGACGGCAATGGGATAAAGTTTTCGGTACCTTCCCCTCGATGTTGTTTCCACTTAGATCAAGAGTCCTCAGACTGCAAGTAACCGGAAATGTATTAGGAACGGAGCCATTCAAGGCGTTTCCTCTAAGGTTTAGTACCACAAGATTATCAGTCCTCTGAGTTAGACATTGGGGAAACATGCCACGCAAGTTATTACTAGACAAATCCAGGACTTGAAGACTTGTAGCATTGCATATGGACTCCGGAATACTTCCTTCAAAAGAATTTCTCGACAGAGACAAGAAAACTGTAGACGCGAGGTAGTTTCCAACCGCAGGTGGAATAACAGAACTGAAACTGTTATTGGAGAAATCCAAATAGGAAGCAGATGGGGGGAAAACCGAGAGTGGCCCTTCAAATACGTTGGAATGAAGGTCAAGAAGATAGAGACGGGAAGAAAGATCGTTTGGAGATCCTTCAAAACCAGCTAGAGAGTTGCAAGAAAGATTTAATTGGGAAACAGTTCTGAGTCCCCAAATCCAAAGAGGTACTTTTCCTTGAAGTTCATTATCAGAGAGATCAAGAGAGTTGAGCAGAGATTGGGTTTTCAAGAAGTCAGGGAACTTTTTTAACTTACAAGAGGCCAACTTCAGTGTGGTCATTTGAGGAAAGGTAGAACTTGAATTAGTGCTCTCTGTTTCAACTGACAGGCTGTTACTTGAGAGTTCAAGTCTTGTTATGTTCTTAAGCTGCTTGAACATGTCCAGGTTCAATTTTCCAGTAAAATTGTTGAATGAAAGTGAGAGAATCTTAAGACCTCGAAGTTCAAAAAACGACGATGGGAATGGTCCCTCTAACCAATTGCTCTCCAAAGTAAGGGTATCAAGTAAGAAAGAAGACACGTTAGAGAGCTCATTCAAACTACCAGTAAATTGGTTGTTGCAGAGTTGAATCTTCTGGATTGCGGGAAGATGGAATATAGATAAAGGAACATTTCCATCGAGGGAATTGTTACGCAGGTCAAGGTTAACAAGATTGGAAAGCTCTTCCCATTTAGTGGAAAGCATGGAACCATTCAACCTATTATGAGCAAGGATTAAAACAGTAAGATTCTTCAATAAGGATAAGGATGGGATTGGACCAACAAATCTGTTGCTCGAAAGGTCCATATATGTGAGTTGTGTGAGCTTTTCAATAGAATTTGGGATGGACCCACCAAAGTTGCAACTCGTCAAGTCTAATCTGGTCAAGTTCTTATAATACCCAATAGAATTTGGCAGTTCCCCAGAAAAATTGGTGTTACGAAGCAAAAGAACTTGAAGAGATCCATTGAATTGGGAGTCTGGAAGAGAACCTTGCAGCAACATATTCAGGGATAAGTCCAGAGTTTGGAGAGTTGATACCTGGAATATTCTACGAGGGAATTCTCCAAATAATCTTGAATTGCTAAGATGCAGCGAAGTCAAATTAGGGAAATCTGCAAATTCCTTGGGAACCGGTGAGGAAAAGTTGTTGCTATCCAGACGAATTTCTGATAGATTTGGAAGCTTCGCAAGGGAAGAATCAAGAGGTCCAGAAAGTGAACAGCCCGACAAACTCAACGCTCTCAGATTATGCAGCGAAGACGATAAGGCCTTGCACCATTCACTTCCTGCAGCTGATAAATCAACACCATCAAGATATAGAACTCTCAAATTGCTCAGATTATGAACAAGAGTCGTCAAATTTGGGTTCTCGAGCTTCAGTGTCGAAGCTTGAAAAAGAGATGAGCTAGTGAGATCGAGCATAACCAACCCTGTTAAGCTTGAAATCTCAATAGGAATCTGGCCTCCAAATCCAGAATTAGACATATTCAGCACACTCAAATTCGAAAGCCTTTCAAATCCGGACGGCATCGTGGAATTGAACCTGTTGAAAGCCAAGTTCAAAATTCGCAAGAACCGAAGACTGAAAAGACTACTCGAATTATCAATCCCTCCGGAAATCAACCCATCGCTCAAATCAAGACCAGTAACACAGCCGTCAACACAGGTAACACCCTTCCAAATGCAGTAATCGACACTTTCATTCCACTGAACCAGTTTCACGGACAAATCAGATTTGTACGTGAGATTATTCCTCAATTCGAGCAACAGAGACCGCTGATCCTCAGGGCATCGTCCAGAGACCACAAGATTTCCTATGCTAAGTAAAATCGAGGAATTGAATATAAAAAAAATGCATGAAAATATCAGATTTCTCATCGGGGCCGACTACTGGAAAGGTCCATACGGATAAGAAATGGGGAAAGTGGTGTGAATTAGTAATGAGTTTAGGGAAGTTCATAAGCCACCAGGTTGACCCCCAGACATGTGTGGGTTCGGCAGGACCAGAATCCGAATGCGAAGAAACAAATGTGGGAAGACGAAGAACAGAGAGGAAGACGAAGATGAAGAAAAAAGAGAAATTAGGGGAAATGGCATTCAAGGACGGTGGAATGGTTAGCGATGGAAGCGCATTCAACATAAACCGCGTCTATGTGAACCCAAAACCAAAATTTCCGCCGCCGCAACGCTACGGATTTCATTCTTCTCCTACCTTTACAACATTACGACGTATTTTACTCCGTTCTCCTCAAGTCTTCTAGTATTTGGAGCTTAAAAAATTAATTTTGGCCATCAATTTTAATAAAATAAATCATTTATTCGTTAAATTTTAGTTTATAAAAATTTATCTGAAATGATCGTGCAATTTATAAACAATGATATTTTCACATATATAATTTATTAATTTATCATTGTCCTTGTTATTATTTTGAAATTTAAATTAAATTAAATCATTACCCACCACTATGCTTTAGAAGAAAAAAACTATTTCATTTTTTTAAAATAATGAATATAAATTATTAAAAAAAAAAAAAAAAAAAAAACAAGTCTGCGAAGTTGTCGGCTATTAGTATTAGTTCACCAATATTTCCACGAGTCAACAATCATTAACAAGTAATTTTTAGTTATGTTACCGAGATTAATCAATTTATTATTTTACAAATGAATGGTAGGCCTATTTTATTAAATTAAACATAAAATATTTTTAACTCAATTAATTTGTTCATTGCTTTAAGTATTCAATTTGAGCTATAATAGAGATTTCATATTTTCAATACATATTTATTTTAATAAAAAACGGCAAAAAAAAGAAAAAAAAAATTGTAGTGGCGACTTTGATCATTTAAATTATAATCTAAAAATTAGGTTTTAAAACATTAAAATTAAAGTATTATTTTGGTCAAAATTAGTTGGGTTCCATTATATCTTAATTATTATCCTTTCAATTATCTAATTAAGGTTGCTCAACCTTAATGGGCCAATCACACAAATAACAAACAAATATGGCACAAAACTCATCTGCTATGTGAAAAGGTCAAAAAGCATTATTTTTATTTCAATCAATTTTCATATTTGCAAAATCATATTTAAAATGCAATTACTCCAATATAATTTTTCTTCAACGGTTAAATAATTATTATAATTCTAATATTTTTTCCAAAATTTATAAAATGAATATTTATAATCTAACTTTACAAAAATTAAAATAGAATGAAATACAAAAACTTGACCTTTTTTGGAACGTTATTTAAAAGTATATAAATCTCAAATCCACATCAGCATTAATTCGATTTTAAGTGAAGTGACCGCCAATTCATGAATATGATATTTTAAAAAAGGAAAATTCAGTATCAAATAAGATTTAAACCCTTTTCTTGATACGAAAACCTAAAGCCGAGGCCCATCTCATCAAAGTATCGGATCTTTTCTCCCAAACCCAAACACCGGCGATTGCACCCGTGATCGCACCTGATATGAATCCGAAGGTAATTATTATGTATTTCCATTCAAATTCATTTTCTGAAACTCCCCCTGAGGTTCTTGTATCTGAAGATGGTCGAATATCAGTTTTGCATTCCTTCGGCAAAGGGGATCCGCATAATCCTTCGTTACCTACGAAGGAATCTGGTGAAAATGTTTGGATTTGAGGGCCATTCGGGATCATACCAACCAACAGATTGTAGGAGAGATTCAACACTCCTAGAAACGAAAGTTTTGCAAGCTGTGAAGGGATTGTGCCACTAAGCCTGTTACTTGAAAGGTCTAGAGAACCCAGCTGACTTAAATTTTCTATGGATGAAGGAATTTCACCGGACAGCGAATTGTGTGACAAGTTGAGAACGTAAAGAGCTCTAAGTTGCCCGACTTCTATAGGTATCTGCCCATCGAAGGAATTGCAGGAGAAGTCGATGGATGTGTAGACTGTTAGAGTTTTTTGGAGCTCCACGTCTAGACCTTTGCTCGTAATAGTTACTGTGTCTTGATAGTTCACAGAACTGAATTTGAAGAAACTAAAACGAAGGTGAATAGCTCTTGACTTGCTATAATCTTCCTCATTCACCATTGCTTTCCATTTTACTATGCTCTTCCCAGAAATACTGCCATTGAAGTTGTTTCGAGATATGTCCACAATTTGCAGGCTCTCCCAGCTGCCATTGCTCTCCTGACATCCAAACCTCCCATGAAATTTGTTCGAGCGAAGAACAAGTACCCGCAAAGTGGATATGTTCTTCAATGGGCATGGAAAGATGTCTTGTATCTGATTATTCCCAATGTCCAAAACCTCCAAATGACGGCAATTGGATAAAGATTTCGGTAACTCCCCTTCAATGCTGTTTCCACTTAGATCAAGAGTCCTCAGACTGCAAGTAACTGGAAATGTATTAGGAATGGAGCCATTCAAGGCGTTTCCTCTAAGGTTTAGTACCACAAGATTATCAGTCCTCTGAGTTAGACATTGGGGAAACATGCCACGCAAGTTATTACTAGACAAATCCAGGACTTGAAGACTTGTAGCATTGCATATGGACTCCGGAATACTTCCTTCAAAAGAATTTCTCGACAGAGACAAGAAAACTGTAGACGCGAGGTAGTTTCCAACCGCAGGTGGAATAACAGAACTGAAACTGTTATTGGAGAAATCCAAATAGGAAGCAGATGGGGGGAAAACCGAGAGTGGCCCTTCAAATACGTTGGAATGAAGGTCAAGAAGATAGAGACGGGAAGAAAGATCGTTTGGAGATCCTTCAAAACCAGCTAGAGAGTTGCAAGAAAGATTTAATTGAGAAACAGTTCTGAGTACCCAAATCCAAAGAGGTTCTTTTCCTTGAAGTTCATTATCAGAG